GCGATATTAAATATATATAAATATATATATATATATAAATTATATATATAATATATATATATATGTATGTATACATGTATGCATTATACTCATAACTAAATACACATAAACATGTATTTTAGTATGTATGTATCTATTTATATATCTACATCTATATCTATCTTTCTAGGTATAAACACACACACACTTATATGTGTGTGTATCTGTTTGGTTTTTTCTTTTCTCTTTTCAAGAAAAGAAAGGAAAATCTCTATGTATATAGCACTGTATTCACCCTTACGACCTCTTCTGCTCAAAGGACATTTGTGCACTCATCAGGCCCATAACTTAAGGCTGAAGACGGCTATTGAAGCAAGGAGAGAAGTGCCTGTCATAGTGGCTCGCGATCGCCCGCGTCAGCATGAGGGGTATATATAAGATTCCCCTTGCAGTTTGTGCACAGATTGTTCTCGTTTGGGTTTGGAGCTGAGTCTCTCGCGTGCAAAACCCTCAACATGAAGCTGGTAAGTGCGATTTCATCTTCAGAGTGAGAGATTTGCATGTTTGGTTACTATGAATCTGACAAAGTTTTGTGTGTCTGTGTATGTTTGATAGGGAGAGCGAGCGAGCGAGAGAGAGACAGAGAAAGGAGAGAGATTTCAAGTAAAGGAACTTATGGCCAAGAGATTTTCGTGCTGATTAAAATTGTTTGCATGTGGTGTAGTTTGTGCGTGGATGTTGTGATTTTGTGTATTTGGTTACAATGGCTTGGGAGTGAGTCTCTCTGGCGTGCATAGATTGTCTTTGCTTTGGGCTTGGAGCTGTCTCTCTCCCATGCAAAACCCTCACCATGAGGATGGTAAGTTTGTGCGATTTCAACTTTAGATACTTGTGACTGAGAGAGTTCCGTGCCTATGCATGTTATTTGCATGTGACGTTATTTGTGACTTTTGTCGTTCTTGTTTTGTGTATTTGGTTCCTAAGGCTTGGAGCTGTTTCTCTCGCGTGCAAAACCCTTAACCTGTAGCTGGCAAGTTTGATAGATTTCAGCTGAAGAAACTTGAGAGATTTGTGTGCTAATAATTGTTTGGATATGATGTGCTTTGTATGTTACTTTCTTTGCTTATGTTTTATGTATTTGGTTGCTGTTTGAGTGTCGGTGTTTGGGGTGTTTGTTATGCAAAGAATGAGTTGATAACTAATGCCTTAATACTATTACCGCATGTATTAAAAACTGATGGTGAAATATTTGTTGAAATGTGTTTCTAGGGATGAGCAGATTTATGTAAAGGTGTATGTTATTACTTTCATTTTTTTTCTTCTTTTTTTAAGATTATATTGAAAAGATGTAGAACCTTCTATTTAAACAAAAGGGGCGAGTTATGTTTTCCTCATCCTAAGATATATATTTTTTTGAGTAAGAATTTACTAAGATATTTTTGCGGAAAAATGAAGTGATATAAACTTTTCCATCATCTATGTTTCCCTAATCCAAATATCAGACATTTCAGTATTTCTGTAAAGATCGATTTTAATCTATTACCATGCGATTCACACAGCGAGGGATAGAGATTGATAAAAAAAAAAAAAAAGAAAAGAAAAATGTTTCATACTATATTTTTCTTTTCTTTTGCAATTGATAGCCAACATTAATTGTATTATTCTTTTCTTTTATCTTGTTTTCTTTTTTCTTTTTTTTTTTTTGGCTTTTGCAGTTGTCGATGGTTCTGGCCCTCTTAGTGGCCCTGGCAGGCTTGGTGACCCTGAGCAGTGCCATGCCTGAGCCTGACCCCGTGGCTGACCCTGACGCCGTGGCTGACCCCGATCCCTTCAAATACAAAGGCGGCGGTGGATACTACGGAGGAGGTTTCCGAGGGGGGCATGGAGGTTTCGGCGGAGGTTATGGAGGTTTCCGAGGGGGATATGGAGGCTACAAGGGTCATGGGGGCTACGGGGGTTTCCGAGGAGGCTACGGAGGCTACGGAGGTTTCGGATACTTCGGCAAGAAGAAGTTCGGGTAAAGCCTCTGCTGTCTCTGCTGCCTGACGCTCGGGCTTCCCTCTCAGACGACACCAAAGTCTGGAATTCATATCGGCTGTATCTTTGATCCGGAAAATAAATCAGACGAACTAA